GGAGGAGGAAGAGGAAGAGGAAGAGGAAGAGGAAGAGGAAGAGGGGTACGGCAAGGAGGATAAGGAACCTGGGAGGTTACACAAGGGAGCAGAGCCAGGGGCTGGAGAGCAGGCTGAGTGGTCTGGTCAGGCACCGAGGATGGGGAACAGCTCAAGATGGGTCAGAGGGGTACAGGGCTGGGCTGTGGGCAGCTGGGAGGAACTGCCTGTTTGATGCCCAATTCCTGCAGGGGCTGAGCAGAGGCGGTGGGCAGGCGTGAGTGAGCAGGCGGGGGAGACCGAGTGCCAGCTGCAGCAGGTGAGCACCACTCAGCCCCTTTCCTTCACGTGCTCCATGCTTTCAAGGAGGATTTGTTGGTGCCCAGACTTGTGTCACATGTGGGGGCACAGCAAGAAAGAGATCCGAGTCCTGGTCTTGAAGTTCGTTCATGTTTCCTAAAGAAATACTTTGTGCGCCCAAAGGGTGTCTGTGCGGAACTGTCTGTCGTAGGCAAAGGTTGAAGGAAGCCCGCCCATTTTAGTGTGTTCAGGCTGCTGTGACATAATCACGTGCTGTGTAAACAACAGCAATGTCTCGCTCACACCTCTGAGGTCCAGGTGCCTATGTGTTTGGTCTCCGATGAGGGTTCACTTTTTGCTCCAGAGGTGGCCCTTTCTTGCTGTAATCATGCATGGTGGGTGGGGAGAGGGCAAACAATCTTCCTTGGGTCACTTTTATAAGGGCACCAGTACCATTCGTGAAGGGGCAGCCCTGGTGACCTAGTCCCCTCCCAAAGACTCTGTGCCACCACGCTAGGGATTAGGTTCAGCGACACCCGAGTTCTGGTGGGCACAGGTACATCGGGACTGGAGCAGCGTCCATGCTGGGGGATGGTTTAACTGTGCCACATCCACGCTGGGAAGCACTGCCCAGCAGTTCAAATGAACGAGGCAGCTCTTCTGTGCTCCGTGAGAAGATCAAGATACAGCATTAGGTACAAAGGACAAGTTGCAAAATAGGTAGAGAATGGTTTCATTTCTGCAAACCCACAGAGAAGGTCTCGAAGGAGTCCTGCCAAAGAGTTTTAAGCAGGGCTGCCCACCGAGAGAGGGGGGTTAGGACAGAGGGGACCCCAAGGCAGTTTCGCTTTATGTCATTTAAATCCAAGGATTGCTTTTAGATCTGATCTATGAAAAGTGACTTTGAAAGTACAATGTTATCTTTTCCCGTCTGAGCCTCAGTTTATTTCTTTGCAGAAAGAGGAGCTTGCACTCCAGGATAGTTAATGTAGTCACCACCCCTGCCCTGTAATATGGATCGAACCCAGGGCCTCTGCACCCCCAGCTCTTTTATTATTTGTTGCTTTGAGACAGGATCACACTAAATCAGAGTTGTCCAAGTTAGGCTCAAACTTTTGATCCTCCCGCCTCGGCTTCCCAAAGTGAGGGGAATATAGGTGTGTGTCACTACCACTAAACTGTTTATTGTGGTAAAGACACATAGTGATGGCCATTTTAACCTTTTCTTTCTTTTTTGGGTTTTTTGAGACAGGGTCTCAGTATGTAGTTGAGACTGACCTGTATCTCACTATGTAGCCCAGGCTGGTCTCGATCTCACAGTGATCCTCCTGCCTCAGCCTCCAGAGTGCTGGGATTACAGGCATTCATCACCACTCCCGGCTCATTTTAACTTTTTCTAAGGGCACAGCTCTGCGGTAGTACATTTGGCCTTTGTACAGTCACCTCCACTACACATCTCCAGACCTTGCTCATCTCAAGGGGAAACTCCGGGCCCCTAACAGTAACTTCCTGTTCCCCTTCCGCCAGCTCCTGGGAACTACTATTCTTTCTGGCTCTATGCATTTGACTGTTCTAGATACTTTATGTACTTTATGTAAGCGGGATCAGTCATTATTTGTCCATTTGTTTCCAATTTATTTCGTGTAGCATTTTTTCTAGGTTCATCTGTTATAGCCTATATCCAGATTTTGAGTCTCACTATGTAGTTGAGACTGACCTGGAACTCACTATGTAGCCCAGGCTGATCTCGATCTCACAGCGATCCTCCTGCCTCAGCCTCCCGAGTGCTGGGATTACAGGCGAGCGCCACCACGCCCGGCCTGTTTTGTACATACCTGGAAGTGGAACTGCTGGGCCATACAGTAAGTTTGTACGTAATTTTTGGAGAAATTGCCAGCTATTCTCTATAGGGGTTACATCATTTTACATCCCTCCGTCCACCCCACTTTCCTTACTTCTTTATTGTTTTTATAATAGCTGCCCTAACGGCTGTGATGATTCTGTGATTTTGAGCGTCAGTTCAGGTTCTCATTGGCCATTCGTACATCATCTTTGGAAAATGCCTTTTCCAGCTCTTCGTTTTCAGAGCTAGGGATTAAACCCAGGGTTTGCCTGTGGTGCACAAGTGCTCTATCAGAGATACATTTCAGCTCTTGTTTTATTTTGAGACGAGGTCTTGCGAGGTTGCCCAGGTTGGCTTCCAGTGTGTGATCCTTCTGTCTCAGCCTCCTGAGTAGTCGAGGTTATAATAAATATGTTACCATGTTCAGCTTATTTTGCTGATTTTCAAGGATTTTTGTCGTTGTTGAGTTGCAGGAATTTTTATTATGTATCCTGGGTATCAGTTCTTTATCAGATGCATAATTTGTAAATCCCCCCCCCTCCCGTGGGTCCTTTATACTCTGTTGACCGTTTTCGTTACACAGTTCTAAATGTTGAAGAATCCAATTTCTCAAAAGGAATGACTTCTAAAGCATCTTAAATTTTTAAAACGGAAAAAGAACAGGAGACGTGCGGAACAAAAGGCGACCTGTGCGCCCCGTTCCTGTGCCTGGGAAGCCCCGGCCAGGGCACAGCTGGGAGGGGCGACGCTGAGGAGGGGAAGAGGTGCTCACGGCCTGGAGTTTCCCTGAGTCGTGTAAACGGGTCAGAGGTAGCCGGTGTGGGTTCGCTCTACCTCACCAGCCTCTGACTGCAGGTCAGAGTCCAGGCCCCAGAGCCCCGGTTTCTAAAGAACATCCGTCTCTGTCCTTTGCTCCCTGTGAATCATTCGTCACCTTTCTTTGGTTGCATGAGGATTATTTTTTTTCTGATTCTAAAAATAAATACGCTTATAGCAAAGGGACCCAAGCATAAAGGGGCCCCAAACCACAAGCCACCACGCAGTTACCTTCATTGAGGGAGCTGGCGCCGGCGGCCGGACTTCATGACCCCCCACCTTCTCCACTCAGGATTCCCCCGACCCCCGATCCGTGGGGTCCCCAGGAAACCGAGTCCCCAGAGAAGGACCACTTCCTGTACAGCTGGGCTTACTCAGCACGCCCTGCTCCCCCCAGCCCGTTTCTACTGTAGCCTCTATTTTGCTACTATTAATGTTGGGACATTTTTTTTCCCCAGCCTTAAAAAAAATCTTTTATATTTCAAAAAACCCCCTTACGCATGTAATTGGGTTATTTTCGGAACAATAAGGTAATGCTGTTTATAATATCATTTACTCATAAAATGATCACATTGGGTGTTGCTAAAAATGGCTTCCTTTGGGTTGCTGCTCTGTCTGTGGTTGGCTGAGCCGCAGGCTAGAGAGACGTGGGCGTCGCCTTCTTTCCCCTGACTGTTCTCAAGCTGTTACTCAGACCCGCTTGAGGTCCGGGCTCAATCACTGGATAAAGTTGCATACAAGGCCACCACTGTTTAGAAAGGGATGAGAAGAGGGGGCTCCCCAGGGACTGTTGGGGAGCACCCGTCAGTGTTTAGTAGCTCCATTCTTACCTCCTACCCCAGACTAGGCCCCAAGGACACCCCAAACCCTCTGCCTGCCTCATTCAGTGCTAGCAACCCTACCTGGTATCCCAGACTTGAAATGGGGCTGATGGTATCGTACCTCCAAGACTGGAGATGAGACCACACCTTTCTCTTCTTATATACATAGCATAGGTTCAAGGTCTACAAAAAAGGATTAATTATAGCTGGGTGTGATGGCACACAACTGTGATCCCAGTACTTGGGAGGCTGAGGCAGGAGGATTGCTGTGAATTTGAAAGTAGCCTGAACTACATAGTGAAACTCTGTCTCAAAAGCAAAACAAAATAAAACAAAACAAAAAAGAAATGAAAGAAACTACAGAAACACAAAAGTAACAGTTTATCAGCAATCTCATAATCTATAAAGAACCATCGATACATACACTTTGTAATACTTATATGTTCTTATATGCCTGTGTGTGGGTGTGGGTGGGTGCATGTGTGTGGTTTTATATAAAATATGGTCAACTTAGCAAGACCCTGTCTCAAAATAAAATTAAATTTTTAAAAAGGTCTAGGGGTTTAGCTCAGCGATCCCTGGGTTCAATCTCGAGTACAAAAAAATAATTTATCAGGTTTGAGACTCACAACTAGGCTTGGGACATGGTGTGCCCTCCTTCAGGGTCAGTTCTTACTTTTGCTATTGCTACCGTGATCTCGTGGCTGCACAGAATTCCACTGCATACACCAGTGGTCTGCTTCTTAGCAAGGTGATTTGTTCCAAAGCAGTATTTAGAGGCATTTTTGGCTGCCTCAGCTGGGGTGAGGACCGCTATTGGCATCTAGGGTGGAGGCCAGGGATCCTGCAGGGCACGGATGGTCCCCTGACAAGTTCATAGTCCCGAGGTTGAGAAACCCCAGTCTGAATGATTCCTAGTTTGTCCCCAGCTCCCCTCTCGGCCCAGCGTCTCGGCTGAGCTTTCTTACTGTTCGCCACACGAAACAAACACGCTCGAGCGTCCCGGGAAGCACAGAGAAGTGAGTCTGGCGCGCTAGAAGGAGCAGTCTGGCACAGGGTGGCACGAATGACAAACTGGGGTGTGTGGGGTGGGCAGGTACGAGCGACCCCCTTTGTGTCCAGGGGGCAGGAAGGAGAATTTGAGATCTGTGGCCCCCAAGACCTCTTGCACCTCCTGTGCCGGATTACGAACAGCCTGAATGTCACGGTGATAAACTTCACCCTTCACCATCCAGCTGTCGCCAGGGTCCTGGGCTCAGGGTCCTGCTGCTCCGGGTTGTCAGGGGTGATAAGGGAGGGAGGTAACCGAGGGCCCTGTGTGTGCCAGCTCTGGACGCCCCGGTCGTGTGTGGGGTGCCGGCCTCTCCTTGTCTGCGCAGCACACACCAAGGGACCCCTCGGGACTGGACACCAGACACCTGCTAACAGGGGGCTTTTCCTGCTGCTGGAGGGGCTGGTGGCGGGCGGAAAGCATACAGGGGCTCCCCAGGAGGTCCCGGAGGTTTAACTGGCGGGTGGAGAGTGTGGAACGCCAGCCGTGGGGTGACACCACTCAGTCCCGGCCTTTCTTCCCACCGCTCCCCACGCCCCTCTTGAAAAACCAATACTCAGTCCCGGCCTTTCTTCCCACCGCTCCCCACGCCCCTCTTGAAAAACCAGGACCACGCCCACCCGTTTCCCTGACAGGAGGCAGCGGCCCCGGGCCTCTCCCTGGGTTATCTTATTCAGGGTTCCGTGCGTCTACACCGGGACAAAGCAATGAGCAACGCAGACAAGACCCTGCCATCATGGGGGACACAGGCCTGCAGCTGCCGCAGAGGGTAAGAGGCGGTGACTGGATCTGGGGATGAGCAGGGCGGCCGGCTGTAGCCCAGCCCCGGGCAGCTTCCCTGGGGAGAGGCTCTGCCGCAGCCAGGATGAGGAGGCCGGATGGGCCGCCCAGCTCAGGAGGAAGAGATGCGGAGACCCGAGGTGGGCGTGAGCGGGGAAGCAGATGCAGTCACGCAGAAAGGCTCCACTTCCGGTCCGGGGCCGCCATGCTGTGGGTGAGGCGCCCAGGTGCCGGGGGTCACGCCTCTCTTCCGGTCAGCAGTTTTCTGCAAGCCTGCGAGTCCCTTCCAGAGCCAGCGAGGGCGGCACAGGCCCGGGCGGTCGGCCTCTCCTCCATGCTGGGGAGAGTGAGGCTGTGTGGAAGAACACAGCCCACCTCTCATGCACCTGAAGAGCCAGTTGGCCTGCAACTCAGGTCAAGGGTCCCGGAGACGCCCAGACTGCTCCGAAGGAGGTCACATGAGTCCAGCCTTGCCAGTCGCCCAGCTAGTGCCTCAGTTTACACACACACACACACACACACACACACACCAAACAAACAAGCTACGACCATTCACCTTGTCCTTGGGAAGAAAGAACTGTAATTTAAACAGGCTGGTGACAATGCTGAGGGCTCTTACCTTGTGGTTACGAAGTTTAAATAGGAAAAAAAATTTTTGAGGACAGATGGCCACCTCCGGAAGTACATCACCATCTTTCGTTGTTTCGTAGTGAGGGGATCCGAAGCAGGGCCCTGCAGGTGCTGGGCAATTGCTCCACCACTAAGCTACACCTGCAGCATTGTCCCTGGTCCTTACTCTTGATGGTAGGAAGGGTGCTCGTCCACTCCTAATGAGAGAAATGAAAACTAAAATGAGTCGAAGACACCCTGTTTCACCAGGTAGGGAAAGACCAAAGTATCTGCTCACCCTGTGGGCGAGTCGCAGGATAATTTGCTATAACCCCCCGTGGAGGGCTAAGGGGTAGCACAGTACAGACTTGTGCTCTCTCATTCTGCAGATGGAGCCACAGCTGTGTTGCTTATGATAGTGGCTGTCAGGAAACAGCCTCAGTGTCCACCAGCATGAGCCTGGCAGATAGGTAGGATGGTTACCCGCCGGAATACTAGGCAGCAGTGAGAAGGCCCATGGAGGCTCTGGTGTACATGAGAGCAGCATATGGAGATGTTGTGAACTGAAAACCGGTGTGAGGTGATTCTCTCCGCCACCACCCAAGAGCTACCAGCTCTTCTTCCAGAGACCTGTGTGGGGGACTCAGCCTTTGGAGGTCCCCATCCCCAGGGTACTGCCCAGCCCAGCAAGGCTGTGCTTTGTGTCAGAGCACAGATTTGCCTACAGAGCCGGGACCTTGGGGACCAGCACAGGCTCCAGGGTGGCTGTCCTGATAGAGCTCTGCAGAGCCCTGAAGTTCCAGGCCCCGGCCTGTCTCCCTTTCTAGAGGGTGTCTGTGCGGGCCCCGCGCAGAGCCCTGCACTCGCGGTGGCCCGGGCCCTCCCAGTTCACGTGAGCCTGGCACGCTTTCTCGTGCGTCTCTCCCGAGGAGCAGAGATGTTCCGAGCTTCTCTCTGAAGATCCGCTTAATGGCACTTGGCCCAAAAGCAAGTACCCAATAAATGTTGCTATTATTTTATGGGCCACTGGGAAGCCAGCTCGAATCAATCCGCGGTGTATTGAGAGGAAATTTATTTCTTCACGGTTCCCCTCAGTGGAACAGAAGAGGAGAAAGTTATTTGGCCGCTTTGCCCAGCAATCCGATGGCTGCAATGGGGGGCGGGGGGGCTTGCTTCCTGCTGGCTGTGGCTGAGGATTCAGCCCTGTGGCACCCAGCATCTCACCCCAAGTAGACTTTGTGTTTGTGCAACAGGGAGGGGAAACTGAGGTGCTTTGTGCATCCCTGGGCCCAGCTGTATCTCTCAGGTTGCCTTCTTTCTCACTGCTGTTTTGTGCAAGAGAGGGCAGAGGTTTTCTTGAGTCAGGTCTGCAGTAAGGACTGAACTGTTCAGTCATCTCTCTGCTCCAGGGGATAGGACAGCTCTCCCAAGCCAACCCTCTCCTTTTACAGGGATAGAATGGGGTACATGAGAGCCCTCACTAGAATCCCGTCCATTTTTCAGAAGATGTAGAAGGCCTTCCGGGGTGAAGAGAAACTGCCACATTGCAGATGGGAAAATCCCAGGCTGCCAAGAAGGGAGCTATGTCAGCTCAGGCAGTTTCCACAGAAGGCACAGACCCAGGTGACCTCCTCGCTGTGCCATTTGTAAATCAAAGCACAAAGGGCAAAGGTCACCTGAGCTCCCCACTCCTGGCTCCACCTAGCATTATTTTTAACCTTTTGGCCCTTATCACTTTGCACCTTCTTGCTGTCCATGTGGTTATCAGGAACAGATAAGGCTCACCCAGGGTAGGGCCAATCACAGCCGGATTCCAAGGAAAGAAAAGTGAGGTTCCAGCCCCTGGCACCACCTCACAGGGTGGGCTGGATATTTACAAGTGATTTTCAGGGAGATTCCTTGGTCACCTATGGGCTGGCACAAGGGGAAGATCACTTAGGTGATTAAAATATGTAGTGTTCCCCATCTGTTATGGGTGGAATTATGGCCTCCATAATTCATATGTTGAAGTCCCAGGACCTCAGAGCATGACTTTATTTGGAAATTGGGCCTTGGCAGATGTGATTAGTAAAAATGAATATAGTAGATCCCTAATCCAATATGACCTGTGCCCTTAGAAGAAGAGAAATACACACACACACACACACACACACACACACACGGAGAATAGTGTCCAAAGAGGAAGGCAGAGAGATTAGGGTGATATAAAGCACCCCCATAATAGTTCTTTTCCACAGCAGAAGCCAAACACAAGAAAGACTGTTAGCAGTGCACCAGAAGACAGCGATGAAAGATCTGGAGCATTGTTCCCCACCTGGCCTCAGAAAGAAGCAACCATGAGGCCATCTTGATGTCAGACTCCCAGCCTCAGAAGGAAGTCACCCAGCAGCCATCTTGATTTCAGACTCCCAGCTTCTGTAATGGTGAGACAGCCCATTTCTGGTGTTTAGGCTACCCAGGCTGGAACTTCATTCTTGTTCCAGCCCTTGTTTGAAAGTCTGAGAGTCTCACAATTTAACACTAAATTGTGCTATTAATTGTGTTATTCCTGGGAAAGAGGTTGTAAGTTGTTTGCAGGCTGGGGTATACCACCTCTGTTTTTTCCTCTGCTGTGGGAATTCTGTGCCTACTCAGTCACTCAGTCAGGCAACAAACCTTTATTTAGCTTCCTGCTCCTAATTAGCCACTGGGCGTTGGCAGACTTGATATCAATTAGCGGGTGCAGGTGGATTTGCTATGCACACCTCTCAGAAGTAGCCCCCAAGGTATCCATTCCTAGGTGGCAGGACCCACAGTCCAGGCTGGAGTAGCTGTGCCTCTGGACAAGTCCAGGACAATGGCATTCATGGCAACTTGAGAGAAAGAGCTCAGAAGGTGCTAGCAGTGAACTTTTCCATCAGAGAATGGTATCTTGCCATGGCCTGAGGTTGGGCCTCACTCAGAACCTCTAGGAAGACCAGGATTTTGTGCCCAGGTTGAGACCTGATATGGTAGGAGACTCAGGGTCACCCGTGAGCCCCTCTCCACAGGCAGCCTCCTTTTGGCCTGGATGATGTTTTGGGACTTGTTTACTGGGAGTGGCACCATGCAGAGGCCCTGCTGGTTGGGAAGGGCGTGTGACTCACCAATATCTTCACGGAAATCATAGTCATGCCTGCCCAGCCTGCCCCTCATAACCCACTGCCCTTACCACATGTGTACACACACACACACACACACGCACTGATTACACTGGGGCTGAGCCAGGCACAGAACAAGGAAAGTCCTGCCACAATAACCTGTCCTACGGGCACATGCAGCCTTACCACACTGCTGCAGTGCCTGCTCCTGTCTCCCTCTCTGTTCTCTGACCTGACCATCCTCTATTCAGATCCCAGAGAGACACCTATGCCCTCTGCTTATGCTGCAGCTCCGGCCCTGCCAGCTTCTGTCTTTGCAAGGAAGCAAAAGACAGGGGTTTGAACCTGACTTGGGCATTGCTCGCTGTGTGGCCTTTGTCAAATTCCTTGACATCATTGAGCTGCAGATTCCTTAGCCATAAAAGGAGGAGAGTGACAGCACGACCCCATCCATCAGACCACAGTGGAGTTTCCGTGGGATGATTTACATCACATGCTTGGAATAGTGAGGAGCCCTCACAAGCAAATGTGTCCACTCTGCTCTTGTGGTGGTGGTGATGAACATCCTGGGCCTGTATGCACATGACAGGAGGTTATTCTGCCACGAGGGCACAAATTCCAATGTATTACAGAGCTGGGACACATGATATCAATTTTACCTGCTTTCTTGGGATTTTGCAGCCTATGACTTTTTATTGAGGAATTCGCACTGATACAATCAACTCATTCACTCTACAAGTATGTCCTGAGCACCTGCTAAGAAGGTGACGTGTTTCTGGCAGTCCCAAGAGCAGGCATGGAGCGGGTGGGTGAGGCTGAGGCTGCTCCTGGCAGCTGCTCGGACTCATCAAGTTCCTGTTATTGCCAAAAGTGATAGCAGGTTCTTTGCCTGAATCTCGATATGTTGGGCCTGGTACAGCCTGGAGGTGCTGTCCAAGGTGGGGTCTGTGCCTTGGACCCGTGTGAGGGTTTGGGTCCCTACCTTACCTCTTCCAACTCTTGTGACTTTGGGGAAGTCAGTTAGCCTTACAGAGCCTCAGTTTCCCCCTCTGTTAAATGGGCATAGGGATGCCTGTGAAACTTCACAGGGCTGCTGTCAGCTCGTGTATGAAGGTGAGCCTCTTGACAACTGTGTTTTCCCATTCACTCATCCCTTATCCGTCCAACATTATTTTCATATCTACTCGCTTTTAAGAACTAGAAAAGGGGCCGGGGCACAGGACACCCTAGACAGACACTGGGAAATGATGACCAAAAACTCAGCAGTGGAGAGACCTCAGGCTGCCATCCCAGCCAACATCAGGTTCGTTGTGAGGCCAGTGGGCAGGGGCCACTAGACAAGTTCTTGGAGTGGCTGACCCTTCCTCAGTCCAGCCCAGATAACGATTGGTCCCTCTGGTCAAGGCTAGATTAGCCCAACCTTGGGGCTTGTGCTCTGGTGGACCTGCCCTCTCTCTTGGACCCCAGCCAGTCTGCCCAGCCTTTCCCATTGAACTCATTTCCGGTTTCCAGTCCAGAGGTGGGCTCTAAAGAGAAGGGTGGATGGGCTCCAGAGAGTGCTCCCAGACTCTAGGCAGGAAATCGGAAGGAGAGGCCCTGGTCACCTCTGGCCCCTTCTTTCAGCAGTCAGTGCCTTCTCCAGATCTCTGCAGACTGCTGCTTAGTTCTCTTCCAACAGAACTGAACAAATGGCCACTCCTAGCTATCAGGAAGCTGGGGAAAAGGAGTGGGGTTATTATTACTCACTTCTATTGAGAGACAGCAAATTTCTGGAAAGGGAGCAGGCTCTATTGCAACTACTCAACCCCCCGCCCATGTAATGCCTAAATGTGTGTGGCTGCACTTCAGGGAAACTGCATTTCATAGAGTTTTCGTGGGTCATAAAACATCATTCTCATTTTCTTCAATCATTTAAATGTTTAAACCATTTTAGCTCCTGGGCCATACAAAAACAGGGGAGCCAGATTGGTCTTTGAGCTGTAGCCCACCCTGTCTGTTAGACCACTCACAGGCCATATCTTGGGGTTGGTACTTGTTGCTCCAAGAGCGTGTGTGCGTATGTGTGTGTGTGTGTGTGTGTGCATGCGTGTGCACGCGCATGTGCTCAGGGCGGGGGCTGGAGGTAGAGGGATACGGGGTACACCATCTAGACAGTTAACAGAGCTTATCACAGCAGGATTTGAATGTATGCCATCTACTCTTAGTGTCCATGCTAACGGCCCCTGCTCAGTGCCCTCACTGCTGTGACCATCCGGGGGAGATGAGTTAGGGTGTCACATTGCTCTCAGATTGGCCATGCTGGGACCCATGCCCACGTGCTCCTGCAGCCCCCAACAGCCCCTCTTCTCTAAGGCTCCAGGTGGAAGACCACAGTAGGGCGGGGAGGAGTCCAGGCCTGGCAGATGTGCTGTGCTTAGGAGGTGCTCCTAGAGGCAGGTGGGGGCTTCCCTGTGGCCAGAGGCAGGATTTCCGTTTCCCCTGGACACTGATAGGTCAGCACATGGGCTTTGTTTGTGAGGCAGGAGAAGCAGCAGCCCCTCTCTCCGCGGTTTCCCCCCATGCCCTTCCCTTCCTGCTCATCTCAGCATGGAGGAGATTCGGGGGCGGATCAAGCAGTGAGGGAACAGAAGAGAATGTAAACATTCAGGGGTCTCATTTGGTTAGCCATTAAAGTCTTACTCTGGGCTGGGGTTGTAGCTCAGTGATAGAGCACTTGCCAAACATGTGCAAGGCTCTGGGTTCAAGTCCTCCACCATGAGGAAGAGGGAGAGGAGGATGTCCTTGGCCAACCAAAGGGAAAGCCTTACTCCTAGTGGCTGCAACCACACAGAGTGCCTCCTTACTAAGAAGAAGACCTCAGTTCGGGTGTTCCAGGACTGGCCAAGCCAAGCCGCTGCAGCTTCCGTTTCTTCCCATTCACTCTGCCTTCCGGGGTGAATGCCCTCATGGTGGCAGGATGACTGCGGCGGACCCAGCCTCAAACTCTCATTCAGGACGCAACAATGACTGGCAGAAAGAAGGAGTGTCTCTGTGCACCCCCTTCTGAGAAACAAAACCAAAAATAAGCAAGCAAACAAATCAACAAGAACCCTCTCCCAGAACACATGCCCCCACCCTAGCTGACTGCTTCTCACCGCTCCTTGGCTAGGCGGCGTCTCACGTCCACACCCACACCAGGCTCTGGCGAGGAAAGTGGGACGACCCACTGAGCAGGCGGCAGGGGCCGAATGGCAGAAGGAAGGTTGCCCAGTCAGGAAAGGAGAAGGGCTGTGAAGGCTACTGCCGTCTACACTGAGCTGGCACATGGAAAATGTGCAGTGGAGTAGGTACGCTGTGTTGGCTTTGGGATTCGGACGACATGGTGGTGGGGAAAGAAACTGCTGGGTTTTAAGTGAGTTGAACTGTCTACATTCAGCCAATGAAGACTGAGGTCAGAGGGTCTTGCAATGTTACTATCTCCCCTTCCCCTCCCCTCTCCCCACTTGTGTTTCTTCTTCCTCCTCCTCCTCCTCCTCCTTCTCCTTTTTCTTCTTCCTCTGTCTTTTGAGACAGGATCTCACTGTGTAGTTCAGCCTGGCTTTGAACTCACTATGTAGCCCAGGCTGCCTTAAACTCACGCCAGCCCTCCTGTCTCAGCCTCCTGAGTGCTGGGACTACAGGCATGCACCTCCATTCCTGGATCCCTACTTCTGTTTTTCCATGCTTGCTTGAAACTCTCTCCACCACAAGCTTGGGCTTCACCAAGGACCACATTCCCTGCTTCCTCTTGCTCCTACCCTGTCTACGCCAGAGTTGGGCACACCATGGGCTCTTAAATACACAGCCACTGGAGCTGGAAAGCCAAAGGATGCCCTTCCTCCCCCAGAGCACCCTGGGAACTCATTGTCCCACTCCTGAGTAGCACCCCCAAAAGTTACTCTCTACATCCTGCTTTCCTTGTCACTTCCAACCTGGGTAATTAAACTCAACACCTCCAGGGTGATTAAAAATTAATTTGGCATTCAACAGGCCCGGAAATGAAATTCAGTGGGAAGTGCACTTGGTGAGCCTGGCTAGAAGTAATTAGAAAAGAGTCCTGCTGGGGGAGGAAAGGTAACTAAGGCATTGTCACAGCTATGGGAGGCAAGCGCTGGG